GTGATAATATTCATAGGAAGGAGCCAAAGGTGCTGTGTGGCTGGATCTGCATCAGGCCTGGGCCTTCAACTGCACGGCTCTAAATGCAGTTTGTTTGTGGAGACCAGTCCTGGTCTCCTCTGCTGAGAGTAAAAACAGGTGTAAAAGGTAAGGCCTAAGGGTTTCTTTTGTAAATCCGAGCTCTAAGCCTGATGGATAAGTTTTGGGCTTGCTGCTCTCAATACAACAGAAACGCTGGGTCATAAAAATGGACTCAATAATTTACCTTAGTGTTTTGACAAAGAATGCATTGTCTGAATTGTCCTAGGTAGGATATTCCATCAATCAGTCAACAAGTGTTTATTAAACACCTCTGAGGTCCCCTGGCTTTTGCTATTCGGTGAGAAACCCAACTCAGTAACCTAATACCTGCCTTTGTGTGTGTGTACAAAAACAAATGATGCAAAATTGTTAAGTTTCAAACACTTGCATAACTTTATTGGCTAATATTAATTTAGCATTATTAAGAGATTAATTTTGGGCTTGGGCAGAGTTGGTGATTGTGGGGAGAACAAGATATGGAGTTTTGAGTTTTAGATATCTACAGGTATGTACTTTCTTTACCTCTGGTATATTTCTCCAGATAAATACTGTTTAAATAACATATAAAGATGTCAGATGAGCAATAGATAGATAAGAAGGGTGCAAAAAAATTCAAAATATAAAGCTACTGGGAGCAATTTCTGAGTCTCGGCACACCGAGTTTTGGCCCCAAATTGCCTGAGGGAAATGGACATATTATCTAAAATCTGTAAACGCCAGCCAACAGCAGGAAGTCTTAGACCCCTGGCCCACATTTCTGAGCTGTAGGGTGTAGGGGGACGCCCCCATGCCTTTATCTCACTGTCTCCATCTCTAGCAAGGAAACCTGTTTATTGACTGCAGAATTTCGCTTCCCCTTTTTCTTAAAAGCAGAGTTAATTCAAAAAAATATATCCATTTACTTTTGAAACACTAAGTTTTGGGTTTGTTTGTTTTATCCTAACATCAGTTAGTGTGTATCCTCTGGGCATGGACAAGCTTCGAGGTTCAGGAACGCAGCGTTGGGGAGAGCTGAGAATGTAGTCACGTTTACAGAACTCTTTTCAGGCACGGGTCTTGGCAGACAGATGGGCAGGTCCAAGGTTTATGGGCATTCGCTGCAAGCTGCTTGCTGTAGAAGAGCGCCGGGGGGAGGGGGGGTACACGACCTCAGAGGGAAAAGGGAGGAGTCAAGAGCACTGAAAATGCTGCTGCCGGTTGTAATCCACAATAGCAAGGAAACAAGATATGGATACATGAGATAAGGATGGCTAAGCACTCAAGGAGAATTAACATATGTGTAGTTTCCTACACTTTACAAAGGGCGTTCACAGGCATTATCTCAATTAGCAGTTCAAATAGAGAGTTAAAAAGGGAGTCTAAACTTAGAGCACTCTGGCAGGGGTGTGCTGGGAAAGCTGCTGGAGGAGATGCATTATAAACTCGATTTTTAAAACTTGGATTTATTGATTTTTTTTTCAGCGGCTAATTGACTTGAATTTTGAAGCACAGGAAAAACTTAGAAGTGTCCCTGGGGGTACAGATGCGTGTCCCCAAATGCCTTCACGGACAGTGTGTGCATTTAGACTAGACTTTGGGACCATCGGCAGCCTAGATAGCAAAGCAGAGCATGAAGAGAGGTTGATTCGCTTTGCTGTCTCAGCTCTGACTGCTGGGCATTCAGGCACAAAGCCCTGTGCTGGCTCCACACCCCAACCCAGTCACATAGCATTAAGGGTCGCACAGTAGTAAGATGCTTCTAGAACAGAAAATTCATGTATGATTATGAATGGTCTGCAGATCTGGGAAAAACCAAAGTGTACAAGGAGACCAAAATCCAAAGTATTCGATTTTCCCATAAAAGCATCTCGATGAGTTCTCCTAAGCCTGCTACAAGGGGGGAAATAAATGATATGTGTTAGGAGCTGGCTGCTTTACACACATATCTTATGTAATTTGAACCTAAGAAGAGCAGGAGAGCCCCACAAAGTTAATGCTATCCCTAGTTTGCCAGTAGAAGAGAAGCTCTGAAAGGCTCAGTTATACAGCAATGATTCCACAGCTAGTATTTGGCTGAGCAAATATTTAATCTCAGGCCGTAAGACCCCCAAGCTGTAGAGATAGGTGAAATGACGGTTTTCAGCTGAACAAATAAAATTGAGAACATAATAATAACTCATTTGCAGAAAAAAAGCTCAAGGTGGAGGTAGGAGATTATTTTAAAACTCTCAGATGTACTTTATATAGTTTACATTATAATATGCAAAAATACTGAGTTTATTAGTGATAGTAACATCTTACATGTATATATATTTGTTTTTATATTTATTATATCTCTTTATTTAATTATTATTATTATTTTTTGAGATGGAGTCTTACTCTGTTGCCCAAGCTGGAGTGCAGTGGCTCACTGCAACCTCCACCTCCCAGGTTCGAGAGATTCTCCTGCCTTAGCCTTCGATGTAGCTGGGATTACAGGTGTGTGACACCACACCCGGCTAATTTTTGTATTTTTAGTAGAGACAAGGTTTCACCATGTTGGCCAGGCTGGTCTTGAACTCCTGACCTCAGGTGATCCACACGCCTCAGCCTCCCAAAGTGTTGGGATTACAGGCCTGAGCCACCCCTTTCGGCCTATTATCTCTTTTAATGGTCACATTTTGCCCCCGTTTTACAGATTCAATGAAAACTCAAATTGAGTAAGGTTAAGCAATGTGCTAAACGTCTCATTAGCCAAAAAGGTAGAAAAAGTAGTCCTCAAACCTCTGGGAATCCATGCATGTGATATTTAATGAGATAAATGAAATTAAACTTCAGTCTGACTTGGAATTTTCTTGTAATGAATGTTGCATAATTGAGTAGAGGCCCAACCCAAGCAATTTTGTGAAGACAGTAATATTTTTAATTAAGATATTGGATTATTCTAAAAATTCATAAATTTCTGGCATCCTAGATGCAAGCTTCAATTAATCAAACGTGAAGTAGTGATGAAATACATATTGTATAAATGATTTACCACATATCATTCTAAATGTTCTGAGAGTTCAGGGAAGTGGAGCTCGGTTTGGGTAGGAGTAAGAGATAAGATGCTTCTGGAAGGAAGAGCTGCCTCCTCTGGCTCTGAATGGATGTATTCTGTCTGGATCCGTGTCTCTAATGTGGTATGTCTATAACCCAGGCCGAGGGCAAGATTATTCACTTGGCAAAAAAATAGGTAAACTTACATCTTATATATTATTTAGCTTATTCTTTAAAAATGTCAGTTTTCATGGATGTTTGATAATATAACATATTAATATTGTTATGCAAGTGTAATATTTATAAAGTAACCATCCTTCATAGTTGTTTCTGATCTGCAAAAATTCTGGTAAGAATATATGATTAAAAATGTTTGGAGAGGCCAGTGGTCAAAATCTCAGGAAGGACGAACAGCATGATGTGGTGTAGGGGCCCGGGAGGAACCTTGACCTTGGAGATGGGGATGAAGTGTTAGGGAGCAAGGGGGAATAAAGCTAGTTGGAGAGGGCGGAGTCAGGATATGAATGAGCTGGAGGGCCCTGTGGAGGAGTTTACTCTCATCACCTATGACATCACATCTTATGCTTTATAAAGATTCAGCTGGGACTTGTAAGACAGGGCTAGAGGTCAGAACATTTGTAACTAGTGATGTCACCAGCCAGAAAGCTTTTGCGATATTCCAGGTACAATGCGGAAAAGGGTTGCGCTGGCATGAGAAATGGAGGAGGAAGGGCAAATCCGAAAGGCAGTTTGAAGGAAAATTAATAGAAGTTAGTGAGAGCTTAGAAGAGCCAAACTGACGTTAGAATGTCTAGGAGGAGTAATATATCAATGTTATCCTGATAGAAATGGGAGTGGGCTGAAGAAAGGACCAATAAATGGGCATAGGGTTGAAGGAGGGCGGGCGATGATGAGTTTTTAGACTTGAGAATGGTGTTCTTAGCTAGTGATGAAACATCCAAGAGGAGATGTCTCATAAACATTTGACAGTGTGGGAATGGAGAATAGCCTGGACAACAGGCTACAAATGTAGGCTCAAAACACACCTGCGTTGAAGCCACAGTTGAAGCCATTGGTGCTCACACCTCGTAAAAGAAGGCAGCATGAACAGAGATAAGCAATAACCAAGATGAGTCTTGGGGAACACAGCAAGGGCCCAAAAGAGAATAAGAGCTAGTGAAGAATCAGAAAAATACCCACAAAAGAGAAAAATCATTTTAAAAAAATGAATGGCTGATACTATTAAGCACCGTAGCCTCGTCTCCAGGATTCCATGAGAAAACAGTGTAGTCTCCTGGGTTGTACTGTTCTCCTGCACATAGTTTTCCCGCTCTGGCAAGAGTTTCTGGCTGTGGTCCTTTTGGAGGCAAATACTGGTTCAGAGTCTTGTTTAGAGTCACAGAATATTGGATAGTTAAGGGAAGCTTCATAGCTGTATTTCTCATACATACAGTTGACCTTTTTAAAAGTTGATTCTCACTAATAAGCAGAGAATTTACAACCAATAATTATCAATACTTCTGCATCTGTCTCTCAAAATGTATATATTTTGGGTATGTTACTAGTTAGAACAGTGATTCCAGAGTGATTGGGGATGTTGCTTGACACTGGTCATCCTGTTCTCAAAGACCCTGGGAATTCATTTATTTCTGGTTCTAGCAGTTCTCAATTGAACCCAGCCATAAGGACTTCTCTGAAGAAAATAGCCTTTCATGAGAAAGTACTTGAGGTATGCAAAAATGGATTGATGCCCTCACACCAGACACCTACCATGAGTAACCAGAAAGCGTTTCTCAAACACTCATGTGCCTGCAAATCACCTGGGGATCTTATTAAAAATGTAGACGCTGATTCAGTCAGGCTGGGGTGAGGTCAAGATTCTGCATTTGTAACAGGCTCCAGGTGATGAAGCTCATGTTCATCCAGGAGGCTCCAGACTACAATGTCTGCTTTGTGAGTGGCAGCAAATCACTCCCACAATGTGAGTGGCAGTAGATCACTGGGTCCTGGATGGCTCCTTGGAGGATCTTTTGTAGATCTGGAGACTAAGAACTACATCCACCACACAGGGGGCCTCACACTAGGCTGCTCAGCCTCATGGTGAAGCTGAGGTTGAACTGCTGTATCCCACCAGCCTTGCACCAATGAGGCTGGGGCTGAAGGCATGAAGGCAGGGCCCTCAGTAGCTGCAAGCAGTTCTGTAGCTACACACAGCCCCTCTCTGAATACCTCCCCATTCCCAAGATGTCTGTCATCTCTGCGGACACAGACTCACAAGTTCCCCAAGAGATTTGGTTACTGCCTCCAGGGAAAGCTGGTGTGTTTGTTTATCTGTCTGCTCCAGAGTTTGTTGTTTTTATCCTAAGGAATATATGCATTATAAATCAGCCTTAGATTCCTCTTCTTCTAGATGGTGGTCAGAGCTGGAGCCTGGAAGTCTGCTGTGCCTACTTGAGTCCTCACACCCTTGGTGAATTAGGTTCAGAAGCTCTGACACACTCAATCATTCCCTAAGATGTAAATAATGCCATTTTCTCCTCCTTCTTTCCAAAGAATATGAAGGATAGAGAGGAAGGATTATATGCCATTAGCATTGCATTTGTTTTAAAATGCTAGTTTAAAAGTCTTGTAATAGAAATGAAGACACTATGAGGAGGGACAGCTGCCTAATGAAGTAGCTTAAGTGGAATGTCCAGGCCTGATTGTAGTCTCATACCTTGTTATAGGTCTTACATCGGGTGCCCCTGTCTGTCCTCCCTCTTTTCAGATGCCTCGTTTTCCTGTGTGTCCCACATGTGGCCCCCTCTTTCCTTGAACCAGGAGTCAAGCTAAACTGATTTAGAGGAAGTCTTCCCTAGCCAGATGCTCACTTAGTCCACACACAGATGGCCGATATTTTCATTCATTTTTAATTTACCAATAAACCTTTTAGGAGTGAAACAGAACTAACATTTATTGAATGTATTGATCACTTACTATATAAAAAGCCCCCTGCTGAGAACTTTATGTATATCAACTCAGTGAAAGCTTTTCATGAAGAACATGAAGCTTAGAAAGACCAAGTTACTTGCCAAGGTCATAGACTAAGAGGCCAGACTCAAGTTGGTAGGATGGAAACACGCAGCCCTTGTCCACCAGCACTTACTTGGGGGGTGGCAGCAAAAGGAGTTTGCTTCAGAAAAACTTCCCTGACAGTTGTAAGTACTGTTGGTCGAGCTCACTAAATAGCTAAATAGAACATAAACAAGCAATTACTGGCGTACTGTGCAGGCATGAGTTCAGTTTTAGCCAGGAGTCCCTCCTCACAAAGGGACTTGGTATAGTGCCAAGGATAGCTGGGCATCATCTCTACTATTTTATGTGATTATTTGTTGGTCTTTTTCTTACTCTTGACTCTGTGTGTGTGTGTGTGTGTGTGTATGTGCGCGCGTGCACATACATTGAATAAACTTAAACAACTTGATGGATCTCAACTTTTAGACACCTTAAATAGATACCATAGGTAAAAGCTCATTATCAACTGTAAGATCTATTCCAAAGAGAAATGTTTTGTGCTATTGTGACTTTGTTGCCCTCTATGAGAATTCTTAGAGATCCCTTTTCTTCTTTGACTTCCCTTTCTGTGCAGTGTGTGTGTGTGTGTTTGTTCGTTCGTTCGTTTCGATGCGCTCACCTCGGGCTCTGTTTTTGTACTGCTCTGCCTACTCCTGTGCTTACCCATGGTCTCTTTTCTCATGTCCTGTTCTCTCTGCCAAGTCTGTACCCAGCACCCCTACTACATGGCACACACAGACACCTCATATTTCTGGGGTTCTAGTCACACCTGACTCTTAACTTCAATCATTTGAAGCCTAAAGTATCAGCTTCCTGGCAGCCACCACAAAGACCATCCCCTAAGGAAACAAAACAAGCCCTATCTCTTGAGTTTCCCTGTTTCTTTTCTTTAAAGTTCCCTGGTGCAAGTAGGCTGCAATTAAGAGTCAGGATCAAAGGGACTGGCTGCCTCTGGGGCTGCTGGGACCAGCAGAGTGCTTTGGTCCTTTTAACTACTTACTTCCCGCAATGTGTGCTACTCCAACCCCGTCTTTGTTCTCCTGGGTACTCAGGTACCAGAATGGTGATTTGCTGTGGGAAGACACATCAGTCAATGGAAAAACTTTTCCACATTACACAGGATTCTGACAGCCCTACCATGCCACTCCTCCGAGATCTATCCAACTGACAAAAAAACACAAATATAAGGTGGAAATTAGAAGAAAATCCCAAGTGGGAAGGCATCCAAGGGATTATCTAGCACAATTCCTGCCTACCCTCTTCCCCAGCCCTGACAAGCTGTTTCCAGCTATTGTGTATCTTCTTTCATTGACCGGACAATCACGACCCCATAGTACATACAAGCCATAACATTTGGTTAGAAAATTCTTCCTCGTGCTGAGATAAAATGGGACTGTGTAATCTGCACTCTTCACCCTTGTTCAGGCCTTTGGAGTAACCCTGAGCAATCACGTGTGTCTTTAGGAGGCAAGCCCCTTCACATATTTGAAGATTTTAGAATTCCTCTGACAGAACCAGTATGGCACCTCCCTAATTCAGGATTGAATACCTTTATTTATGCAACCCCAGACACTGAGCTGCTCTGGCCATGACGACCCTTTGTTGACTCACATTGAACCTTGAACCACCTATGATAAGAGAAAGAGGTGGGGTTCTTCAGCTTCTCTCAGCTCTGCTGAGGCACAGCAGGGAGAAAGTGAATGGATGAAGGTGGAGCGTGATGGGACAGATGACCTTCCACAGCTGCAGGGTGGGATGCTTTCGAATTGGTTTCAGTCCCAACCACAGGTAACAGCCACCTCCAGAAATCCCTGGCAATGTATGGGACACTGGCTTGCAAAATTACCCACAAGGACAATAATAGACAGATAGATAGATTGAGATTTAAATAAACATTCATGCAGAGATAGATAGATAGATAGATTGAGGTATATCTTCATATCAACCATTTGAATAACACACTCAGGCAGTGTTTAGAGATAAGGTATGCGTTTTTGGTTTTCTTTCATCCTCTATGTTTTTTGGCTCAATGATCATTTTAGCAGTAGCACTCAGTCCTCCTGAGTTCCTCTCTGGCTCTCAGCGGCTTAGAGACACACTCCGCCATCAGTAGGTGCCAAGGTCACTGGAGGAACTAATTAATCCCAGCTCCAGTCAGCAGCAGGCTGCACTAACCTGCCCTCCTTCCTTGGAGAAGGAGAAACCAGGAAGGATTTTCCCCTTCAGTTCCACCCAGGCCTACCTAGGGGCACGCAGAGCAAACAAAGGAAGAGTGACAAGGGATGTTGAACCATTTCTCTAAGAGGTGACCACGTTTCCATCCAGAGAAAGCCCAGAGCTTGATCTGAAGCTTTCAGACTTGAGTTGATATTAACCTAGAGATCCCCAGACCCCTAGTCTATCACAAGCTCTGACTTTTTTTTCTTCCGTACTAGTATTAGCTTTATGAACGCCCTATAAATCCAGCGTGTCTTGCCAGGCTAAAAATTTGCCTTTTTAATAACAACTGTCAGCTTTCTAGCTGACCACTCAAAAGCATGAGTCTTCCCCACTCAGGGAGAAATGTGTGTTGTATAACCCAGACCTTGTTAAATAATTGATCAGAAAATGTAACTGAGAGGAGTGATTATTTTTGAAAACACTGACAACCAGTAACCCAAGATACAAAGTTAGAGAACATTGCCGTTTAAAACCTTGTAGATGCTGGAATTCTTGTGAGTCCCCTTATCCAGGTACATGTTGGGTCTTGAGTTAATTGCTCTGCGGCTGTGGATTTTTATTTGATGTTCTGATCTCTTCCTTCTAGTTTGATAAATTAGCATAGAAGGTGGAGGGGAAAAAATGCCGGTGTGGCCTGTGTGCTTTGTCAGGTCAACAGAATGAAGTCCTGCTCTGGGATCAGTCAGTGCTGCTGTCTGAACCCTCTGTGGCTCCTTCCCCACTGGGCCCCAGAGCTGCAGAGGCATGAGGGGCATCAGCTTGGGAGCAAGGTTCCCGTTACAGTTTGGGAGAACCCAGCAAATCCTGGAGTTAGGTTTCTGACGCTCCCCATCTTGCTCCCTGGTTAAAAACAGAAAAAAAAAAAATCAAAACCATATGTTCAATACACTATAAGCCTTCTAGTGAACATGTTGCCATTAGATAAAAACTGTCCGCCTATCTGCAAATGTGAAGGTGATGGGTGTTGGAGCTGACCTTCCCTGGTCGAGGCTGGGAAGGGTGGAGAAGGGCGGTTGTGTTTGTCTCCTTGCTCAAAATGGCATGTCGCTGGAAGCCTTCCAGCTCCTAATGGTGGAGGCAGAGCGAGGACTGCATTTACCGACTTATTTCCCTCTTTCTTTCACGTATTCCTTCTTCCTCTCACGTTTTCAGGACTGAAAATTAGAAACACTTTTCTCCTACACACAAAATTACTCCCTCACACACACTTTATTTTCCCCCTGCTTTGAAATGACAGGTGCTGCCCGGAAAGGTTTCTCTCAGAAGAACACAGGCTGCCCTGGCCAGAAAGAAGGGGTTACTTTAACATACAGCCAGCTAGCTAGTCCTGGGGGGAGTGCTTCCCCTTGGGGATGGGGTGGTATCCAAAAGGATGAAGGGGGTGCTCCTGGGCTCTGCCAATATTTTATTTCTTCATTTTGGTGTAAGATGCACAGATGTGTTTACTTTGTGAAAGTCCAGTGGGCTGGACACAGAATATGTGGTCTTTTATTTTTTTTTTTTTTTTTGTCTTTAATAAAAAGTTTTTTAAATGTAGCTGGCTACCTTGTGCTGTGTACCGTAAGATAAAGAGAAGGCCCGTGGGAAGATAGGTCTATATTCTTATTCTATTCCTACTTGGACTTTCACTTTTTATTCATTTCTTTCTTCTGGAACCTTCTGGGCTTCCAGCAGTGGTCTCTGTTCCCACCTATAATCAGAACGATAAAGGGTCATGATAGCCAGCTTATCTATCATTCTACCCTGGACAGACAGAAGTTCCTGCTTCAAATTAGAAACTTGAAATGAAAATCATCAGTGTTAAATAATAATGATAGTGACAGTAATAACAGTTACTTTGCAATTATGTCTAAAAAATCTTCTTGTTTATTTTATTTTTTTTCTGGCCCATGCAGTTAAGAAAAAAATCTTCTTGTTTCTCCCTCTTTTTATTAAAATGCATGAAAGTTTTGCTTAATAAACCTTTTTTTTTTTTTGACTTGGCAATCAAGACGTATGGAAGGAAGAAAGAGTGTGGGGACAGCAGATGACAAAGCACTTTGCCCTTTTCTTGCTATGCAGCCCTAGTCACCTGTTGGTCTGTTGAAGTTGAGGGATTGCAGATCTCAAAAAATAAATAAGGATGGCCAAATCCAAAGCTTGTGGGTCATCAACACAGATTTGAATCCCGGGGTCCCGTAAGAAGCACGAGTTACCAAATTGATTAGAACTTTGGTTTCCCATGCCCACTTCTCAGGATTTTTTGTGAAGATTTGGTTAAACAATGGACCAGAACTGCCTTATGTATGGTGAGGGGTCCTTTGCCAGTGGGAAGAGCCTGATGGTCTTGTTAATTTAAGGACCTGCTCTGCCAGGGCAAATGTGTTCTGCTTAATGAAGCTTTCATTGACTATAGAAAAGTTTGCAGGGGAAAAAAAATGCGTGAAAGATACCAGATGAGGAGAAAATTATTTCTTAAATTGTCGCCACTTTCTTTCCCCTCATGGAATTTATACTCTGCTGTGACAGGTAAGATGTGTAAAGAAATCACCATGGTGAAGGTATTATGCCACAAGGGAGGTATAAGGTACCTGTGAGATTACTGCCATCCAAGTGAGGCAGTCAGGGAAGGCTTCCTGGAGGAGACAAAATCTGACGTGTCCTTGGAGGGTAGATAAAATCATATTGTGTGGACCTGAAAAGCACCCATGCAGGTTTTTCTGGAGCACAGCGTACAGTCTAGAGAGTACTTGGCATGGACTAAATTGTGAATGCCTTTGAATGCCACCCCATGTATTTCAAACTTTATTCAGAATGCAGCAGAGAGCCACCAAATATTTTTGAGCAGGTAATAAGGGGTCAGACAATGCTTTAGAGAGATAATTCTCTGAGCAGAGTTTAGACCTGAGAATTACAGACACTCAGACAGGTGATGAAGGCATAAGCTGGGCTAGCAGCAATGAGAATGAGGTGCTGTGCTGAGGCCAGGAGCAACTTATGAAGAACATGGGCAGGATTTTTTGGGGCCAAGGGAAGGGGAGCAAGTCAAAGCCGACCTGGACATGCTCAGCTTAGAAAACAGAAAATCAGTGATGCCAATGACATAAACACACAGGAGGATGGGGAAAGGCAATAAAATTGGCTCTGGTCATTAGGAGTTCAGAGTTGGAGTGTCCTCTGAGAAGTATGGGTCTAGGCTGCTGTAGCACGCAGAGCCCGATATGTATTCGGAATTCATCCACAGTAGACTGATATTTAAAATCATAGAGTAATTGAGATAGAAAGAAAACAAGCATAATCTAGAAAGTGGGAGATGACACGGGCTTGGGGAAACCTTACATTTAAGGGGATTTCCTGGGCACACTTCCACTGGCACAAAAATCCGAAGTGAAGAGCATTTCACCCGAGGTGAGGGCACCTTGGAGCAGGTGTATGGGCCTCACGACCTGTCTCAGTGCCTTTGGATCTGTGACAGAGGATCATTCTATTCACTGTGTCCTAGATTAGGGCTTCCTGAAACCAGGTGAGAATGGGAAGTAGTGGGAGATCCTTAAGAAAGTTCAATGAAGATATAGACCGGGCCAAGTCCCATGAGGTGCAGAAGCCAAGGCAACACCTCTGGCCTTTGGGAAAGCCCTTTTTGGAAGAGTGGGAGGTGGGCAGCTGAGCTGCAAGGCACCAGGGGAGTGCAAAGTGAAACCAACTAGGGAGGGAGTGGGAGAAAAGTAGCACAGCCAATGGGAGATGGCTGTGAGCAGAGAAGAGGCAGGGCTAAGGTAGGGACTTGAGATTTGAAGGCAAAGTGTGCTGGACTGGCTGGTGACTCCTGGGCAGCTTTGGTTGATGGAGGCTGCCTGCTGGGGATTCATGAGCTGAGGCCACTGGGGGAAAAAATGGTTTTTGAAAATTGGTAGGTGTAAGTATGATTCTACTGTGCCAGAAAAGGTGAAAAACATCATAAATGTGAAGGAAGGTGGTGAGGTGAGGTCTAAAGGCTTCTCCAGGGAGGCTCCCGGAGGCCTTTGCCTTGAAATGAATTCTGCTCTTCTCCAAATAACTAGAGCGGGGAGGGGTCAAGATGCTATATCCAGCCCCACTGCTCATCAGAGAGGATCCCTGTATCACCCCAGGCATAACTGCAATACCCGACTGTTTCTTCCTCAAGTGCTATGCAAATGTTGTTCGTTGTACTATTGTTGGTTTAATATTTCCCTAAGCTTTTCCCTTCACACTACAGGGTATCAACAAAGGCTAATTAATGTGCCTAGATAACTCTTCTCCTAAATAACAACCTGTCAATATAGATATCGCAACTGGAATATTTTTAATGTCTCCTTATTATGGTAATCCCCATGCATTTTAAACTTGAGCCAATGTCTGATAAGTAGTAGATGCTCAATAAGTGTTTGTGGAATACCTGTGAATGGCTGAAGTGTTTTAGTATTGAGCCAGGCATTTCTCTAGATAATCATTAACTATGAGTCATGCAGAAATCCATAGTCCACCATCTATACAAATGTACCCAGAAGTTTATATGGTGATAAAAAACGAATGCATTTTTCCCCTGGGAGTGTATGCATCTCTATGAAGTTGTGCTGTAGTGCTGAAGAGAGGCCAGCTAAGCTCCAACCCCTTCAACCAGGGATCTTTTTTCATTTAAACTTCAAAGAATAAGTTTGGCTGATGAAGGCTGGGGACAGAGAGATACTAAGTGTGAGAATCATGAACTAGGAGTTCTCTGGAGGGCACTAACTCTTAAAATAAGTTTGAGTTGCTTGAGTGCTGTAGGATAGATACTTCTGGTTATGTTTGGCTGCACAAAATGTACAGCACATCTGACAAAATGGATTGACCTATTTCTTCGCCCTTGAGGGTTACTCAAAAACGTTAATAAAAGACAAGCATATCCACAGCAGAGGCCAGAATAAGATTTGTAGCCACTGGGACAAGGCTGTATTTCTGAACTATTTTCACTTCTCCACCCAACTCCAACCCCAGGAGTAGACGTTGTATTTTCTTTCCATGCCCATTTCAAAAGCTCTCCCAAGTTACTTCAAAAGTTGGTTTTGTTAGCTACATGTATACTTGGGAAGCTTGTTAAAAGGACAGATTCCTGGGCCCCACCCCAGACTTCTCAATCGTTCGCCCCCACTCCCATGATTCAGACTTGGGAAGTCTGAGGTGGGGCCTATGAACCCACATTTATTGCTAGAATACACGGTGACGTTGACACAAATAAATTCACAGACCTCCTAGCACAGGTTAAGAGACCATTCAAATCCTGCACCCAAATCCTGGCTCTGCCACAGACAAGATGCGCAACTTCGGGCAGATTTTGACATCGATTTGAATCTCAATTTTCTCATCTTTAAAATGGGGGTAATAATTCCCATTCTTTGGGTGATGCTTAGGATTAAATGAGATCACCTCATGTAACTTAATTACACAAGAAAGTACTTTCTATGCTGCACAAAATACACACTAAATATATAACAAATAACAAATAAGATATAGTTCTCTGGGGTGGTCATAAAGCTATTAGACAATAACCACCAACAAATGCAATAGACATTCTAAGCAGTTCTAGAAAGAGCAGGGCTTTGACATGACTATTTCTGCAAATTATTAAAGGCTTGCTATCCCTCACAAAGATCCCATTGTTCTTTTAGCAAAATGCAAGAAGGCTTTATATTCTACAAAAGACTTTTGGGAATGTTTACATTTGAAAGAGAGGGCGAAACACTGGAGCATGTTACCCCAGACTAAAGGCATCATAGTATTTCTAGGATGATTGAAATGTAGCTGCTTTTGAAAACAGGAGGGCTGGGCTACATTTGGAAAGTTTCATGTAGTGCATGTGTGAAAATGAAGCACTTGAGCAAGCTCCGCAATAGGCCATGCCTTGAGCTGTTTTGGCGCAGATAAAATTACTTCTGTCCTCACTAGGGCTGTTTTTAGGTTGTTCAAGCAGATGGTAACTGGCTCATATAGGGGCCAAACTCCTGAGCTTAAAACTTTTGGAAATGAATGACTGACTGAATGAATGAATGAATTTTTCTCTGGGTCCAAGAAATGCTCTCATTATATCTGCTATTCCATTCTAGCCCTCTGGTCCCTCAGGAAAGGTTAGCCTTTTTGTTGCTTAGAGCATGAATGTGTAAGGATTGGTTCAAGGTGTTTCCTGGAACCAAAGTCCCCTTCCTTCCTGGATGTGCTGACCCGATTGCCTGTGTTGGAAGACTCAATGTCACATGTTCTTTTTCTTTCCCACTGAGAACCCATCAGCAGCAGAGATACTTTCACAAGTTAGGTGTTTGCTGGAGCTCTGGGTCATAAGATTTGGGTCACACACAACCAAGAGGAAAGAGTGTGGTACGGAGTTCATTTGATCAGCACATAGGGAGAAATAAGAACAGAAAAGTGAAAAAAAATTCAAAACAGAGGAGGGAGTGCAAAGAAAAATGTATGGTACTCTGAAATCTAAGTCTCCATTTTAGCTTTCAGTTGAGAAAGGTTTTCGATTTTTTCCAAATCAGAGTGTATCTACAGATCTTCAAATTCACTGTGAATTGTTTTCAAAAGGCCTAGTCCTTTCATTCACAGCACTGATTAAAATCCAACTGTGTGCTAGTACCCTGATGCTTCCTAAGGGAGTAAAACAAAAATGACTCATAGCCAGCAATGGAATTGAGCAGTAGACACACAGATGCATGAACACTGCACACACACATATACACACATACGTGTGCAACACAGGCATGCACCCCAAAAGCCACTGGAGAACACTGAGACCAACCCCATTGGACTTGGGCCCTGGATACTTCCTGCTTCATCTAAAGTGGGAGAGAGGGCCCATCAGAGTTAGGCCAGTTGGGTCTGACTCCAATTGGAGTGGACTTTGTGTTGAGCTTAGAAGGATGCCTGGGCCGGGCGCGGTGGCTCACGCCTGTAACCCCAGCACTTTGGGAGGCCGAGGCGGGTGGATCACGAGGTCAAGAGATCGAGACCATCCTGGTCAACATGATGAAACCCCGTCTCTACTAAAAATACAAAAAAATTAGCTGGGCATGGTGGCACATGCCTGTAATCCCAGCTACTCAGGAGGCTGAGGCAGGAGAACTGCCTGAACCCAGGAGGCGGAGGTTGCAGTGAGCCGAGATCGAGCCATTATTGCACTCCAGCCTGGGTAACAAGAGCGAAACTCCGTCTAAAAAAAAAAAAAAAAAAAAAAAAAAAAGGATGCCTGAATTGAGATAACTGTGCGGGAGAGTGGTATACATCCCATATCAAAGGAAGCTGCTCAAACAAAAGCCAATAGGAGGAAATGAGCTCTCATTGTGTGCACACATGGTGTTCCTCAGAGAGGAAATTGCCTGATCGAGGACACTTCCGATGCCTTCTGAAGCAACAAGGAAAGCCTAGGCCCATGTACCACAACTCGAAGAAGGTGTATCCCTCCACCCTGGGCTAGCTGCAATGAAATGGGTAGGATTTTAGCAACACCGCTGCCCAACCCCCAACTCCTAAACCTCCAGAAACATCAATTACAAAATGTGTCCTTGGAACCCAAAAGGCAATTCCCTATGTTCTTCTTTGTGCTTTAGGGTGTTTAGATCTAGGAAAGAGGAGGGAGTGGGCACTTGGCTCAAATATGTTGCTCTCTTTATACCCAAGGCTCCCTTATTCCTTGGGGTGCATCAGGCAACTGAGACACAGCCTGTGCCTTGCAGGGTCACTTTGCTACTAGAATCCTGCTGGCTCCCTGGTACGGGTCAGGTCAACTGAGATGAGGTCCCTGGACCTGCTCAGAGGGGTTTTCATATTCAGGCCCCTCATTTGGGCAATAGACTCATCAACAATCCTGTTTCCTGCCATATTCTACTCCAAATGTAATCCTGAGCCTGAACCTGTGATGTTTTCGGGGGACAGCCTGGTGTCTGAGACTTGTCCTCGGCCCCATGTGGAACACAGATATGTAGGGTCTAGCAGAAGAGCATACATTGCAGTTAACCTAGTAGAATGGGAACTTCCTGGGTCCCCGGAGTCCTCGAAGTGGGGGATGAGGGTACCTAAGAGACATTAAAAGAGCTTGGAATGAGTAGAACTTACATGTCCTTTTTTCTTCCTCCTGTACATTGCTTGATTGACAGTTTGAGTACAGTTAAGCTTGGATCTGTGGGGATGCTACTATAACTGGAATGTATTATGGAGTCGTTGTCCAATGACATCATCCTCTGAAAGTGGTGCTGGTGGAAGGAAAATGAAAGCCGACTGAGCAGGGCTCCGCACGCGGCAGCCCCTCCCCTCCGCTGAGCGCAGGCGCCCTGTACAGGCGTAGCCTTGCCCTCCGTCAGCCTGGAGCCCCAAAGCTCGAGCATGAGCTCAGAGTGTCACCAACCCAACCAACCCCTCCCATATACCCCTCACCGCCCAAGTGACTGTCTGCAGCAGTGGCCAGTGGCAGGCATGAACTGTGGCTGTGGGAGAGAGAGAGGATCAAAAGACAATGTCCCTTGAACGTAATCAAGTTCCACTGCAGTTTAGATAGATGCATTTTCAGTTTACCCTGGAGGATGAAAAATCAAGGTTCTTAGATTGTCTGATGGACTGCTCTTGGATGGCTCATTTATTTAGTCAGTCAACAAACCCTAAGTGAGTAGCCAGTATGTGTCAGATGCTGTTCTGGGGGCTAGGTAGCCTGGCTGCTGTTCTAGCCAGATAGAGCAGCAACAAGGTCAACCTCAAGGAGATGAGGATAAAAGGAAAGGGGGCACAAGGGTCAGGGAGGGCAGGACTGGTCGTCTGGGGTAGTGGGGGTAGGGGACAGGGCTGGTCATGATTTTTCAGCAAGGGGTTTGAACTGGGTCTGGTAGGTTGTCCCAAATGCCAGAAATCAAAGAAAGGGGAGAAACTCTAATTAGCTTGCTACTTCTAATTAGTTGCTTCCAAGGCTTATCAAGTTGCATCTATAAACTAAAACGAATAGGCAATTGAGCATTTAACAGTTTCTTTGTCTTTTCTTTTTTTCTTCTTTTCTCCCCACCCTTGGAGGGGGGAAAAAAAGAACAACAAATGAATTAAGAGGTAAATCTGCCAGCAAATAGCATTATGTGGATGCAGAGGAAGAAGACTGTTTTGCTCATCCTAGATAGGGCCGGGCAACTGAGAATTTTATCCACCAATATGAATCTTATTTTGTTATCACTCTTCAGAAGTGGCAGGAAAAAAAGGGTAGAGGGAAACTTCTCTGTGGACTCTTCTGTGTTCTCCTTACACTTTTGTTTTTCACAGCATCAGAACGGCAAGGAAAAAAACCCACACACCCTTGTTCTTGATTATAGTACAGACAGTATTTTCCCCTCTCTTCTGGCTAAAAAATGACTAAATAAAAAACAGATTCATCTCCTGTAACAATGAATAATGGTGGTTTCAAATTTCTGCATAGTTTAAAGGCTAGTTTATAGGATTAGGTCATAGAAACGCTTGTAAAATTCCAGTGTGATTCTTTATTTATATTTAATTTCAAATATTATCATACACCAACAATAAAATTTTTAGGAAACCTGCTAGTGAAATATTTTCAATGAATTTAAGCTTTCATGCATTTCAAACATAATGACTTTCGTAGCTGTCCTGAAAAAAAAAAAAAAAACATGACAAATTGACGGATGCAGAGAGGAAACCAGGCCAGTGTCTGGTAACACTGCTGAATAGATCAAGATCAGAAAAGCTAAGGAAAGCATGTCATCTGCTAAGAGAAATCAGGAAACAAAGAGAGACGAATCCACTTACAGTCCGTATGATTCCCCTAACCACGGAACTTCACTGAGAACCACGGAACTTTGACTTTTTTCACATATGAACAGCACTTTTGTACCTTTGTTTTACAATGTAGACCAATGACTAGATAATGTGCCTTGTTCTTCATTGACTTTGTAATCTCATTCTTTGCCACAAATATAATGGCCTGTTTGTTTTGCTGCTGGTGCACATTGGTCAAAGAATCAGACATTTGTTTCATGGTGCTTGTTTTGAAGAAATCAGTTCTGGGTACATCTTTACACTGCCCGTAAAAACAGGGGCTTATCTGGGTGAGAGAAACACCAGGTCTGCACTTGGATGGGCTTACATTTATCCACTACTATAGAAAATGAAATTGAAATATAATAAAACTCCATTTTAATCTAATTACTGAAGAGCTTGAATTATAAGACTATTCATAAAGATGTACAGTTTTATTCATTATAATGACACATAGCAGTTTGAGCTGGCCAAGTGTATTTTATCGAATAATGACCATTAAGATGTTCTTATTAATGAAGAGATAAGAATGATTTATAAGTAAGATTACAGGTATTTTTATCTAAATAAATAGTAATAAAACTCCTGAGAAGTTTGGTCTCAGAAGTAGGGTAAATATCCCCATTAGAATTAAGACTTAATTTCTTCCACAAGCACATTCTCTCTGCCCTTTTATTCATAAATAGTTCAAAAATAAACTTTAGCCTAGTCTATAAATGGTTTCAACTCGCAAAGGAGTTCTGATCCATTGGTGGTGGCTGCCCGCCTCAAAACTTGCTTGGAGAAGTTTTTGGGTGCCAAGTTTAAGGTCCCGGGGAAACAGCTCATTTAGTGATACCTGCCATGGACAGGATTGGGGGAAGGGATGAACAGATACTATTCATTTGCTACACTTGGCATATCATAGGCTATTCCAAATGGTTACAAAGTTAGGATTCTCACAGAAGTCATCCCCAGTCTTCTCCCTCGGAAAGCATAACTTTCATGTTGCTGGTAACAATGTTTCTAGAGGTCGCCACAATTCTGAAGTTAAAGTTTCTTTCTGCAAGGGTAGTAGCCATTTCGCTCTCTTAATTCACTTAGACCTTAAGCAAGAAAATCAAATTTGCTAAATGTAGCCATGTAAAATGCATATTTATTTTTACTAAGTTGGAGGAATAAAATGATTTAACAACTTTTTCCTGAATTTGATGTTTAGGCAGGAGGATGGGTTGTTACACTGGATTGAGTCCATTGAAATAGTATTTTAATATTTTATTTAAATTTTGCGTGTAATTATTATTGCAGTTTTTGAAAGAAAATACTTGGTTCCTTCCACTGAAAAAAATCTGAAATCCAGAACCAAGTCCATGCAGTAGCACAATTTTCCATTATTTTGAAGTTAACAGATGATGAGTAGGACGAAGGAAGGGAACTAGCACCTTTAAAGCACCTACTATGTTTTAGGCACTCTGATTTATTTTCAGAATACTTTTCTCCCTTATTTAATGCTCCCAGCTACCTAAGAGATATATGGTATTGCTACATTTTATAGGTAAGAAAGGTGAGGTTCAGAAAGTTCCATATGTTTGTTCAACGTGGAACTTAAATTGGAACTAGCCTCCAAAGTTGACCGAAATTTTTTTTTTTTTTTTTTTTTTGAGACGGAGTTTTGCTCTTGTTACCCAGGCTGGAGTGCAATGGCGCGATCTCGGCTCACCACAACCTCTGCCTCCTGGGTTCAGGAAATTCTCCTGCCTCAGCCTCCCGAGTAGCTGGGATTACAGGCACGCGCCACCATGCCCAGCTAATTTTTTGTATTTTTAGTAGAGACAGGGTTTCACCATGTTGACCAGGATGGTCTCGATCTCTTGACCTCGTGATCCACCCGCCTCGGTCTCCCAAAGTGCTGGGATTACAGGCTTGAGCCACCGCGCCCGGCCCAGTTGACTGAAATTTCTATTTGGAATTCAGATTTTAAATGCATACCACTTGGCCCAACTTTTAAACAGGACTCTTGTAGTGAAATTTTGGGATTGACTAATAAGAATTTAAGAACTTTAGCATTTTTGAGAGCCATCAAAAATTGTTGGCCACTATTATTTGACACACACACACACACCCGCCATATATATGTGGGTAAATTCCTATTGAACTTCAAACGTTTATTGCAAACCACTTTGCCTTTTTATTTCAAAAAAGTAAATGTGAATGACTACTCTTTATGTTAGAAAATTGTTTAAAACCTAGAAAAGGGAAACTTTTATATGAGGATAAAAACTGTTAAATTATACAATACAGTCAGCAGGGCATGTAAGAAACCTGAATATCTTCCTGACATTTTATACAGTGTGTAAATTGAACTTCGAATCCAGAGGAAGTCTGCTTTTAGTTAACCACTGTGAATAAACTTCTGTTTCTAAAATTCTCAGTCTCTATCTTTGAGTGAGAGGAGGCAGTGGGATTTGCAGCAGAAAAATCCCCCTCCTCCCTTCCCTGAAAAGGCGTTTTATTAATTTCTCTTGCTGAATTTTTGACCCTGTGAAGAAAAAAAGATGCATTGTATCAAACCACACTACAAGACAGGCTCCTCCAGACCGGCTTTTTCCTTCCTGCTGAAGGACATGGATATCGGCTTTATGAGCTGGTTACAGTCAGCTTTATCGCCAAGCCAGTAGATTTTCTTAATACACTTATTGCTGTTCTGTAAATAGCACAAAGGCAATCATGAATCTGAATCACTTAGGAGGTCACAGTGAGATTGATAAAGGTAATCTGGGGAAGAAAGTGTTGAGTAACCTAAATAATGAAACTAGTAATTGGAATTCTTTCTTATTGTGCAGGCTGACAGTCTTGACACCAATCCTTTGAGTACCTATTGTCTACCTCTGAAATTTAATGAGATAATGCACGCTAGAAACACTTTATTCACTATATACAATTCTCTGTAAATGCCAGCTGTGATAATATTACAGATAATAATTGTATTTAAAATGTTAAAATGTTAACTAACACATGAAGAGAGCTTTGAGATTGTCCAGCACATTTCTTTGCAAAGTTGATTCACTAAAAACTTAGTATGCTTTATTTGTTTCTTTATTTTCAAGAATATTTATGAGGACAAGCACTTCAAGCTTGGCTTTATGTTAGTAACATAAAAAGCAACAGGGCACTGGCTTATTTTTTTTTCTTTAAAATGGTATGCCACCCTGATTTTTAAAATTCTGAATTACTCTTTCATTCCCTTTAAAAGTGGGAAAGGAGAAGAGATATGTTCTAAGTTCTAGGAGAGGAGACTGCTAAATGTGAACTCTGACATAGATCTTTGTGCTCTTAGGGGTGGCTTCATTTCTTTCATACCTGTTTCTCTTGTTTATTGATTGAAGTTAATGATATAACTTGGAGCATTAGAATATTCCAATGTAAAGTGTCATGGTTATTGAGGCAGTGGCGTTGCTTATATAAAAATTCTTTAGGCTGGGTGCGGTGGCTCATGCCTGCAATCTCAGCATTTTGGGAGGCTGAGACAGGTGGATCACAAGGTCAGGAGATTGAGACCATTCTGGCTAACACGGTGAAACCTTGTCTCTACTAAAAATACAAAAACTTAGCCAGGCGTGGTGATGCACATCTGCAGTCCCAGCTATTCGGGTGACTGAGGCAGGAGAATCGCTTGAACCCAGGTGGTGAAGGTTGCAGTGAGCTGAGATTGTGCCACTGCACTCCAGCCTGGGCGACTAAGCGAGATTCTGTCTCAAAAGAAAAAACAGTTGTTTAGAACTCTAATATTTTCTTTAGTTCATTCATTAAACAGCTAAAAGAAAGCAGAATGGTTAATTAACAATATCATTTACTCCATGTTTAAAATCACGTCTTAGTTCAGTTGCATCATTTTATTTCAAATAGCTTCATAAGTAGTTATTTGAATCTGCAAAGCCAACTAATTGCTCTACCTGTGAATTTTACCCCAAAACATAGGTTTACCCAAATCTAGAAAACATTTCCTAGATGCATTGTACCAAATCACACTACAAGACAGGCGCCTCCAGATGGGCTTTCTGGAAAACATGGAAATGGCATGTGATTACTTTATCCATCTCAAAGCGTATATGACAAACCCTTCATCACATGTTCTAGACTTAATGTATCCAGACACCCTAATTCTAGACACCCTTATTCTAGTTAAGTGTTTTTGTACTGCATTAGAAATGATTTTTCTATGAAAAGGCAAATACTCTTTTCCAAAGTTATTATTTCTGGATTTAACATGTAATTATTTATTCTTTGCATAACAGTTATATATATATGTATATATGTATATTTATATACATACATGTATATATATGTATATATGTATATTTATATACATACATGTATATATATATGTATGTGTATGTATATATGAGATGGAGTCTTATTCTGTCACCCAGGCTGGAGTACAGTAGCACAAACTAAGCTCACTGCAACCTCCGCCTCCCAGGTTCAAGCAATTCTCCTGCCTCAGCCTCCCAAGTAGCTGGGACTACAGGCCATCACACCCAGCTAATTTTTGTATTTTTAGTAAAGACGGGGTTTCACCATGTTAGCGAGGCTGCCCTCAAACTCCTGACCTCAGGTGATCTGCCCTCCTCGACCTCCCAAAGTGCTGGGATCACAAGCAGGAGCCACCGTGCCGGCCCCATAATATTTCATAGTCATGGTTGAGGCTCTTGTACATGGGTGAATAGCTTAGTTGGTTAAAGCAGGAGACAGTGATCACAAGTTCCTGATATCATAGTCTCATATTTCACCCCAGACCTGAGCCAACTATTCCCAAAACATGTGCTATGGGTCCCCAAAGGGACAAAGCCCTACCATAATATCTCTAACCATTTAAAACACAAAAAGAAAGTAATCTTTTGTTTATGATTTCCATTAAGAATAATAAAATCAAGATAACTTTTTTCAGAATCCTCCCTTTCTTCTAAAATCCTACAAAATCAGATAAACAAAAGGTGGAACAAAATCCTAAATGTAATGTTCAAATCAAAATGTAAATGCAATGTAATAAAGTCATATGTGGTGCCTTCAGGGTTAATTTTCTATTAGTTATGTTT